AGGTAACTTTTCAATTAAGTAATCCAAATCCTGCTGTTCCATTTGCTCATTGGGGGGAGGGGGCAAATGCAGAGAGCACATGGTTACAAACTTTAGTACGTGAAGTTGAATTGCAACAGTCTAAAGGCATGTCGCCAGAGAATTAATATTTGAGAGGTTAAAAGGCTAACACTTCCAATGGCATCATTGCTGGAAACACTGTCCTTTCTGGCAGATGAATGTCTCAAAATCTTAGGCTGTTCAGGTTTCAGAAGAGTTTCTTGTGTTGTAAAGCAGACAGGACAGTAATTATCCACGAGGTCTTTTATCTGTTCAACAATTTTTAATAAACTATAACAACCTTATGTTGCTTTTTTTTTTGTTTTTTTTTTTTTTTTTTTTTTGTTTTTTTTTTTGAAGATGGTTTTCTATTCCCACTTCCATTCAGAATCTAAATCCTCAGAATACATGTTGTCTAATGAGCTGGTGTTCATAGGACATGATTTTGCTTGCTTTTCCAGTTTTCCTTCATTTGAATAGTTGTTCTTTTGCATGTATTTGGTTGATTGCTGGGAACTCCTTGCAAATTTGTGCTTTCTGGACACAAACAATTGGCAGCTGACTTGACAGATTTGATGATGGCAACAAAGAAAACATTTTCATGTGCTCTTGAGTCTTGGATAGCAGCCCCCTAGCTTAAGCATATATAATGTCCTTTGTAACTTTCACAGCCTGTACTTTTGGTTTTAAACTTGGAGCAGAAAGGACAAAGCTGTGTGCTTCCCTTTGCAATTGATACGTAGCTGCAGTGGTGCAAGTACTCTCATAGCCCTCAACAGAGCTCCATGGCCTGATATCTTTGAGTAGCCAAAGCACTGACACTAGAAACATTACATGGGGTTGGAAATGTATGGTCTAATATAGTCTCAATTAACAGATCACCCGAATGCCGCCATTTGATTGCATATGTTTTTGTATTAAAATAAGGTGACAACTTTTTGAAGTTAATCTGTTTTATTTACCATACCTGACAACCTCTAAAGATAAAAGTTCAGAAGATTTCTCCCCCAAATTCAGAAGATTTCTCCAAAATTCAGAAAAAACATGAAGAATTAATATCATGCTTTGATATTAAAAAAATAACAATTTATACAAATAGAAAAAAGAAAATTGTACTTAACATTAGTAAATCTCAATTAAATAGTAACTAAAAAATTTATTAGGAAACATAAAACAAGAACTTAACTCTTTCGCATCGAAGTCGCCCCAATCGCCCAAACATTCAGACACCGGCTGGACGCCCGAAACGCCTGATTATTTCCTACCCAGTGCTTTCCCCCATCACGTTACTGCATTACTCATTGCTTTCAGGTGTTGTTAAATCACATGTCAATCATTCTTTTGAAGCTACTAAAAGTAGCTTCCTTGTTTCCTTTCCTTTGTTTACTGTCAGTGTTTAGCTTTTGATGCCCGAAGTTGCACTCCCGTCCCAAGGGGGAACTTCACACAGTGTCAAAGCATCGAAGAAAGAAGTTCTCGCTTTACTTAAGTAAGGCTATTGTTAGCGCTGTAGTATTCAACTTGTCATGGGGGAAGGAAAAGCATTCCAGAAGAAATTCTTAGATACGGGCGTTTTCGATGTTTGAGGAATTGAGATTTTGCCCTCTCTCGATGCGAAAGAGTTAATGTTACACAAAAAAAATTATTGCAGTGTATTTAGAGTGCATTTTTTGGCTTTAGCCAAAAATTATTTGGAAAATTTCCTGTCATAACAATTAGTTTCCTCATAACATTTAGCAATTAAAATGTTTTCTACAGTTTTTGGTGAAATTGAAGAACGAAACATAGTTTTGTTTTTCTTCACAACACTGAAGACTCTCTCGCACTCAGCATTACTGTGTGGAATTACGAGAATAGCACTTAAAACTCTTGCTAGTCTATCATATTTTGGTCTTCCATCAGCTATTTTTATTCTTTTTAAGGTACCAACGAGGACATCAAGTCTATCTTCTCCAGAACTGGCAAAGTCTTCAAACTGTGCAGCAGAAAATTGGTTCTGTAGTTCATCTAAAGCATCATTATGGCATTCATTTTCTTTAATTGTTAACACAAATGGAAATTTATCAATAAAAAAAGAATCTTTTCAAAAGATGAAAATTTCAAATTTGCCACTTCAGCATTTAAAAGAACTTCATTTTGCAAAGGAAACTTCCTTACAACGTAATCACAGGCTGAGGAAAAGTTTCTAACACATTGAAAAAATTCTTTTTTCTCATGATCTTTCAAAGAATTTACAAGTTCCCTGGTTTGATTTCCAATTATAAGATCATTGTCATCCTTTTGATTTGCCAAACTATTACATGGCAACACGAATCAACACACCGTTTTTCAGAATGGACAGTTTTACAAACTTATTATAAAGTTTTTACAAAAGATCATTAAGAATTTGGATAAGCAGGGGAGATTTTTTTGAACTCATTTCGTAACAACGACGTATTAAGAAAATTTGAGCACATGCAAACAAAAAAAAAAAAAAAAAAAAAAAAAAAAACAGTGACAATCCATGCTCACCGAGTCCGAGCTGAGTAATTCCCTTGCTGCTGAAGCGAATGCAAAAAAAATAATCTGGCGCCCACAAAGAAAAGAGTGAGAGAAACAAGTTCAGCGCATTGGATTGGCTGGTTAAGCAGCGAGTTGGGAGAAACCGCAGGTTACTGGATTTGAAGTAGTCGGTAGTTGGTGGTAAAACACGATGCAATTGGCGAAAAAATTCTAAAATATCGACAAAAATCACTAAAAACACTTGAAAAAGGAAAAAAAAAAAAAAAAAAAATCGTAAAAAATTAAAAAATGGATTACGATCGTAAAATCGTAAAGACAAATGCATTTTCATAAAAATAAAATTACGAAAAATTCGTAAAAGTTGGCAGGTATGTATTTACTGATTTGGTATTGACATATTTTAATGCTTTTGAAGAATTTATTAAAACTATATTAAATTTATTCAGACTTGTAATTGATAATAATGAGAATTCTGATCCAAAAAATGTGCAAAATGAAGTACAAAATATGTAAACCAACAACATAAATATGTATCATGTTTTCACACTTGGAGCAGTTTCTTTTTTAATACAATGGCTCTAATGTAGAATTGGATGCCCCTTCAATTAGCGACAAATTTTGTTCACTTCTGGCGATGAAACCCATTTCTGGTTACCATGATAGTATTAACTTTGTTTTAGCTTCCTGATTTTTTTTTAAGTGGAAACAGATCGAGATGCATATGGACAAATTTTATAGAGTACGCAATGCCTAGCTTGTGCAATTCTCCAATTTTTTTTTAAGTGAAAATAGATCGATGTGTACATGGACACATAGTTTGTGAAATTATTTTATTTTTATTCTTATTATTTTATTATTATTTTTATTCTTATTATTTATTTTTATTCTTATTTTGGTTTTGTGTAGTGGCCATCTTGAAACTGTGTCTGGCAGGCAGCATTGCTAACCACTGTAGTGTGTAATGGCCATTTTGAAACTGTGCTATGGCAGGCAGCATTGCTAACCACTGTACGATCAGGCTGACCAACCTAATTGTACAGTGGTTAGCAATGCTGCCTGCCATAGCAGAGGTGGGATCAGGTTTGAATCCTGGAGATAGCTTGGATGTTTTAAGTATACAAACTGTGTGGCTCAAGGACACTTAAAATTTGGCAAGTTGAAAGTCGTCGTGATGGATGAGACCAAAGTTCTCGTACTCCACCCTCTTCCCTAGATCGGTGAATTGCTCAAATTTAACTACAGGACATTGTATGTGCTGTATTACAAACAGATTACTGATCAGCTGTCAGAATTTACAGAAATATTACTTTAATGGATCCACAAATGCAGAAATTATTAGCATAACATATGATGTATGCTTCATGCTGATTTTGAAGATTCAGACATAAACTATAACGGCAAGACAAATCTTTAAATAAGACAGCAAATTTTATTTAGTATTTTTTAAATTTTTATTAGTAAAATATATTCAAACATGCATGAGAATTCAACGTGCAGTTATGTCTAATAGCACCTTATGTTTCAAATAGAATGCTTCACTGTATTTTAATAGACAATGCCTGTCCTTCAGTAGTTAGTTTACCATAAATTACTATGCGACTGAAGTATAGACTACTTATATAAACTTGTTACGCACAATAGCGTTCTTTAATAAAACAGTTAGCAATTTTTATTGCATCATAAATATTTATATAAACACAACGCACATCCTAAGTAAAAAAAAATTCAAATCAGATAATATACATTTGGAAGGACCTTTACTATAAAGACTACACCTCCGTAACACATTTCATTATTTTAAGAATTTTTTAAATTGATTTTATGAACTATACATTTACATTACATCACTAATTACGATTATAAGTTCGATGCTTTGAGAAAAAATACGTGTAAATGAAAACAACTGAGAATACCTAAGTACTAGATTACTGGACGATACAGAAACTGACACATAACTTCAGAAATAGTCTGATACAGAAGTGAAATTCATTAGTAATAAAAAAATTATCTTAAATAAAATCAAATAGGCATTAAATGGAACTCTTAATGAAAAAATAAAGCCACATCATTAAACTGTTCTTGTCACAACTCGCGTTAAAAATAAAATCTAAATGGTAATTAGGATTAGACCACACACACACATATATATGTTACTCTCCACAAACAACTTGTCTACAATAGAAAATACGACGCAGAACTTAAGATTTCTTTGTTTCAGTATTTCAGTTCTCCACTCCTAACGCTAAGTTTTACGAAATTATACATGATACATGGTTTGTAAGCGCAAAATATTTATATATTTCCTTAGATATATTTAGAATAAGTAAACCACAAACAAAAGGTAACAAAATGTTCTCAATTACATAATACGCACGAGGTCGATAAGATTCAATGAGACGGAAATCACAATAGCATTAGGGTAAGCAAAAATTTCATATTAGTATTTAGCACAAACTTACCTTTTTAATTTCAGTGTCAGAAGCATGCCTTGATACTCCTAATAAATCGTACAATTTAGTATCAGCCATTTCTCTCTTAGCGTTATTATTTCTCGCTCAATATAGGAGCAATACCGTGGAATGTACTAGTAAGATGCTAGTTGCTGCTTTGAAAGGATGAGAGTTGAGATGTTCCGAAACACACAGCTGACAAAAGTAAGTATATAGTGATAAAAGTAAAACTGCGTATACGCCATGAAAAAAATCTGCACCTTAGTTTGCAAAAATATCCTTCAAAAAAAAAAAAAAAGGTGGAAAGGAAATAAAATAGAAAAAGAAATAAGGGAATTCTAAGTGAAGTTACGAAGTTACCTCTTATTAATGGGCTAACCGTGTGGAACGGAACGAAACACTGAGATGAAAAAACGGAACGAAGGTTAATCACGCCAAAGAAAAATGATAGGAAATGCTTTATGCCAAAAATATGTTGGAACCTACCCTAAACGTTCACCAACGAAACCTCTATAAAAATTTATATGCTCTTAGAAATGTTATGTATCGTGAATTCTGCTTACCAAATTCAAATAGCTCTAGTATGCTTTATGAAATTCAAATTACCCGACATAGCCTAATAATTATGAATATTTAGATCTATCTACACGTAGATATTTCTCTGTAAACCGTGTTTATCTGATAACTCGGATCATGGTTTTTGTTTAGTATGAATGATTTTTTTTTCTTTGTGTGTGTTGGTGGGATGGTTATGAAAATCCATTAACTGCTTAAACGGCCAAAGATCACAGAGAAGAGTTTCTAGGCCGAAGCCCTGGGTGGGGACTTATAATTTAAATAAGTGCTTTAGTGAAATACATTTTTATTGATTGTTATTATTAATTCTTATACTTGAGTGTATTTCTGTGTTTTATTTATTTAGTATATTTAATGGCAATTTTATGTTTTGGTCATGGTATTATTCATTGCATGTATTTTCTATAATACATATAGAATATTAATAGTTCTATTACAAGTGTCTTTTTTTCATTTTTAAGTGCTTTGCTTGTTGATATTCTCAAAATTACATGTGATAATTAGTGCTGTTATGCATATAATACACATAAATACAATAGACGCATATAAGAGATCAATATATTTTTAGTATATCATTATCATTTTTATGGAAAAAAAAAAAGACACTTTTGACTGCATAGATTTTCTGGAAATCCCAAGAAACACATATGAAATCATTTGTTTACAATTAGTGAACTTTACAATCAGCTACCTATCGTAATACAATAAAACAGTGACACAATCCTACAACAAGTCAGCAGTTTCTCCTTTACATGAACAAGAAATTTTTTTTTTTAAAACAATCCTTTTTCAACAATGAAATGTCCTTCGATTTCATGTGATAAAGACGCTATAAAACTTATCCTTAAATAGAAGGCCAAAACTTGTACATTGGATTTCAAGTAAAATTCCGTGCATTACCAAATGTGCTTCAGTAATACAGCGAGAATTTACGCCTCCTGGAACAAAATCAAACATTTCGGAAGAGGTAAGCAACTCCATTTTTGAATGTACGAAGTCAGATCACAAATCAAAATACCGATTTTTATTCGTTATACTAATGTGTGAAAGCGCCACCTATAGGTGAATTGAATCGCGGATAGTTTATAATCAAAAGGAGGGAGGATGTTAATAATCCAACACTTATTTTGTTAGCATAATTTAGCAACTTGTGTGTGGCAACAGTATGAAATATTCAAGTTTGAGAACGATGTAACAACGCGAGGAGCGTCATTGATTTCTTTCGTGATAATAAATTTTCTTTTCGTTGAAACTGATTCTGTTGTGTAAATAATCACCGCAATTATAGTGTTATAATGATAGAGACTATTCTATAATCTATGATGCGAGTTTTTATTTAAAGGCTACTTCGTGTGATTTATAATTTTTAACTACTGAAAGCTGAAAAAGTCAGTGATAATTTTTTCTTGTAAGCTTTGACAATATCTCCTTTTATCTGCTGCTGTTTTCTGAAAAATGTATGAATACCTACTTTTGTCTGGTGTTATGCATCTTTTGCAGTTGTGTCTCAAGGTGAAAGCAAACATAATGCCGCCTTGAATTCTATGTTTCGACTTACCTACTCTTTAAAAAAAAATATTACTTTTTTATTTTTACTTCCTTGTCTTTGCTTAAAGTTGACTTCCTAACTAGATTTTAAATTGTTATGTAACCGTACCCGCATCCTTTGTTTCCTTTTCTTTGGTTTTACTGGCGTTTTGAACTAGCTAAAGTACACTTATAATTTCCAAAGCGCCACACTTCTGATCAGAGTTTATTTAGCTTCTTTTTCCTCCTTTTATGAGAAACAAATGTTCAGAAGTGCTCGACTACTGGAAGTGCTCAACTACTGGAACCCCTTTTTAACACCTTTTCATTTAGATTATGTTAGATTTTTCAACACCTCACTCAACATACTACACATTTACAACAGCATATGGGGCCTTCTTCATAAGGTCACAGGTCACATGGATATCTTCATAATTTAACATTAGGGTCAGTGGCGGCTTGTGGCTAAAATTAGTGGGGGTGCTGTTCCAAAAAAAAATTAACCTTTGTTTTAAAATTGTCTAAAAGGAAATAAACATGTATAAAAAGAAAATTTATTTTGAAAGTTCATGAAATCTTGCAAGAAAAAAAAATTAAACATTTTTTAATTAATTAAGACACAATAACACGCCGAATAAATACTAATTCAGAAGTCAAACAACAAAAATCAGCGTTTATTTACAAAATTTTCACAGGACTAGTTTCGATGGTTACCGAACCACCATCTCAGCTGCAAACCTCAAATGAAAATAATGATAGATAAGATAAGAAACCTTGGACAAGAATAAGCAGTGCGCCATCGTTGGTGAAACCAGAACTAAAACATAATCTTTAAAGGCCGAGGCAAATTTGGTTGGAATTAGGATCGTTAACTAGAACCGAAGATTTTATGAATGTGAAATTCCTCTAGAAAATCCAGTTCTCCAACGGAAGATGTTTTTTGAATAATTGCAGCTGAGAATGGTGGTTCGGTAAAACCATCGAAACTAGTCCTGTGAAAATTTTATAAATATTACGCTGATTTTTGTTGTTTGACTTCTGAATTAGTATTTCTTAATTACTTTAACCAAAATTGTTACAGTTCAATCTTTGCCTATTCATTTAAAAATGAAATCCATTCTTCTTGTTTAAATTTGCGCGAAAAGATCAATAATTTTCTCCTTGATCTCTGGATGACAACTGAAGAAATTTTTCTTTATTGAAATCAATGCAAGCGCATTTAGTCTTTTCGAATTCCTAGTGCTTCTTAGAAAAGTTTTCATTCTTTTAAACGTTGAAAAGCAGCGTTCTGCCTCTGATGTAGTCATGGGAACTCTAAAGAGAATTTTTATCTGTTTCGTTAGCAGTATTCATGGATATCAGACCTACAATAGAATACTTTTAGTTCAGTTTCAAGCTTTTCTTTGTCAATCATTAATATGCTTCAGTGGTGAGTACTATTTCTTCTGTAGAATAGTCATTCTTAAAACTAGCGAAGCATTTCTTGTTTAACAATTTAGCATAGCTGCTAAGTATTTAGTGGAAGAATACCTGTGCATTATATCAATACATAGTATAAAGTCACATATTTCCTTAGCTTCAGCCATCAGTGTCTTTGAAAAATTCTTACAGTACTTTGAGTTTCTTAATTCTAAAATAGCAGTTTTGAAATTTGTTATATATTCGTTAACTTTAAACAACACACTAATTTCTCTGGATTGCATATAGTTGTATATTATTTCAACATGACGCATCTGATAAAAAAGCTCTAACCAAAACTTGAAATTATCATCATATAGTTTTTTTTTTTTTATTTTTATTTCTGTTGCTTTTGCAATAGTTTGATCTGCATTTGATGTTGATCGAATTTCAGTAAGGCAATTTTTAAAAGGTTGCAAATTTTCATGAACTCTGTTTATGGTCCGTATAATGAAGTTCCACCTTGTGCAAGAATACCACACCCGCAGAGTAAAAAGAAATCACGTTTCCAACAACATGCAGAATTTTGGCACTACAAGAGCGACAGTGCTCTTCTCGTGTTGCTTTCTGTGCGCGCATGCGCAGAACAGCCATGCACCACGTCGCTGGAACTGTGAAGCGCGCAGTTCCAAACAAAGAATTTCGTACCTTTTTCACAAAGTAGGCGATTGCAACTGACATTAAGCTTAAGCTTAATTAATAATAAGTGGAAATAAGGGGTGTTGCAGTTCCACAGGGCTTATTACGAGTCGCCACTGATTCGGGTACATTCATGACTAGGTTACTTCACGCCGCCCTTTCATTTTCTCTATCTTACTTAGGCACATAAATACTTTTTCTATATAGTGTAGCCGTTATTTAATTCTCATTTTGAACCCACTTTTTTTATCTGGCTTTAAAAAAATTTTGTATCAAATGATATGAAGTTATATCTCTCTCAAACAAAATTGCCTCTTTATTTTTCTCTCTGCGTTCAGAAAGAGTGTGCAAAAGAAGACGTCTATCTACTTTGTCTGTCCATCTGTCTTGTCCCGAAGCCCTAGTTTTAAGTATCAAAATATAAAAGAATATCAGCAAGCACATATTATAAAATTAAAGATATAAAGAGCTCTGCAGGCTGTGTGAGACGAATGCAGAGGAGACAAAGGAGTTTATGACAGAAAGAGGATAAATACGGGGTAATGTTCGGAGAACAACCTTAATGCCTACATTTGACTGTTTTAAGAATGCAGGGAACATTTTTTTTTTTTACACCAAGGAAGTAAATATTATTTAACTACGGAGATGATAAAATATGTAAGAAAAAGAATTTAAAGAACTGCTTGCTGATATTTGACTACTCATTGCCAGTTTCGATCTTCGGGTCCTATATCCAATTAAAATGAAGTGCAAGAGATAACTGTAAACAGATAGGCACATAACTGTAAACAGATAGACACAATTGAATGATAAATATGAAATTTTAAAGAAATAAAATTAAGATATTCAAGATCTTTATACCGGTGGCGATTTCCATAAAGAAATCGAAAGTGCTGAAAATTATAGTGGTAAGTGCGGAATAAGAGACACT